CAGGGGCGGGCCTGGGGGCGGGGGCAGGGGCAGGGGCTGGAGAGAAGAGGCAGGGGGAGGGTGTGGAGGGCAGAGGGATGCCACTGGCCCCTGTTCTCCACCTGCCTCTAACCTTATGTTCAAGGATACTAATCTCACCATCCTTAAGGATTTTTAGGGTCTGTTCTACAGTACAGAACAATTGAGACTTTTTCTGGCCTGGCATCAAGGCCAGGACTTAAAAAGTAACACAAAGTTGGAATGAATGAAGGGGCTCTGGCTATTTAAAATAGCCACCAAGGGGCTGGGAAGGTGGCTCAGTGGTAGAGCGCTTGCCTTGCATGCCTGAGGCCCTGGGTTCGATTCCTCAGCACCACATAAACAAAAAGAAAAAAGCCGGAAGTGGTGCTGTGGTTCAAGTGATAGAGCGCTAGCCTTGAGCTGAAGGGCTGAGGGACAGCGCCCAGGCACAGAGTTCCGGCCACGACCGGACCCCCCTCCCAAAAAAAAATAGCCACTAATCTCCAAATAAGGGCTATGGACATGTTTTGTTTTCTCGTGTGTGTGTGTGGGGGGGGGGGCCTGGGTGCTGTCCCTGACCATTTTTGTTCAAGGCTAGTGCTCTACCACTTGAACCACAGTTCCACTTCCAGCTTTTTAAACTTTATTTTGGTAGTTAATTGGAGATAAGAGTCTCAAGGACTTTCTTGATGAGCTGGATTTGAACTGCAATAATCAGATCTCAGCCTCCTAAGTAACTAGGATTACAAGCATGAACCACCAGTACCCAGTGTTATTTTTTTTAATGATATTCTTTTGTTGGTGTTACTAGTCACATTTTGTTTCCTCAAGTACAAGAAAGTTTTGGAGCATGTTGAACCCAAGAATCAATTTTTATTTTTATTTTTTTTGTTAGTCGTGGGGCCTGAACTCTGGGCCTGGGAACTGTCATTGAGCTGAAGAACTCAAGGCCAGTGCTCTAACATTTGAGTCACAGAGTCACTTCCGACTTTTTCTACTTATGTGGTGCTGAGGAGTCGAACCCAGGGCCTCATGCATGCAAGGCAAGCGCTCTACCACTGAGCCACCTTCCCAGCCCCCCAAGAATCAATTTGGGATAAATTCATTAAATAATTCATTAAATTTGTCATTTAATGACAAATGACTGAAAATCAGAAGAGGCAGGCTGGGCAGAAAGAAGTCATTAACCCAATATCCACATTTGGATAGACAAAATGTAACAGTTGTGGCAGGCTTCGTTTTTCCTGCTTCTGCCCCTGGCTCTCCGCATGTCCCCATGGGGCACTAGGCAGCTGTGTCTGCGTGACGACCCGACCTGCTCTGGGAATCTGACAGGCTCAGGCCAGAGGCACAGGCATCAGAGACACTCCAGCCTTTGGAGCTTCTCTATGTGCTAATTGGGGCAGATTGTAAGTGCAACACTGAACAAACACACACAAATGTACAGAAACTATACCAGTCATTGCCAACATTTTGCCAACTTTGTTTCAGCTAATTTTCACCTTTCTTTAGGCTGGGGTACTTTTTAATAGTCTACTTTTTTTGGGGGGGGGTCCGGTTGTGGGGCCTGAACTCTGGGCCTGGGCGCTGTCCCTCAACTCTTCAGCTCAAAGCTAGCGCTCTACCACTTGAGCCACAGCGCCACTTCTGGCTTTTTTCTTTTTGCTTATGGGGTGCTGAGGAATCGAACCCAGGGCCTCAGGCATGCAAGGCAAGCGCTCTACCACTGAGCCAACATCTCAGCCCTCTACTATGTTTTTTTGAGGGAAGGTACTAGGATTTGAACTCAGGGCCTCATGCTTGTTAGGCTTGTTGAGATTGATGGGAAGGAGTGAGGGAGAGGTTGTCTGACCACAGTGCATTGTGTGTGACTATGCCAAGATGAAATGCCCTGTACAAGCAACATTCATTGTAATTACAATTTATAAAAATCACAGTATTAATTGCACAGGAACTTAATAATTATAATTGATATGACTTGCAATATAATTATTAAAATACAGTTAATCCTAACTCCCAAGGGAAAAGATGGTCCGCACAGGTGAAAGGGAGTCTTACCTCTGAGAAGTAGGAGATCTTGGGGGGCGCTCCCTTAAGGTCCAAATGGACTAACCGCATCTTAAATGCTGTGCAGCCTGACATTTTAGTGTTTATTGTGAATTGTAATGGAGCCTCTGGGACTTCTTCCTGGTGGAGAAAACCAGAGTCAAAACCAGGAGCTCTGCCCTGGAGTTCACTTCCGTTCTGACAAGGGCCAGCCTTGCTTTTTTAACTTAAGAGCAAACTCATTTTGCCAACATGAAAATGAATAGGGAAGGCTGTCTCCACGTCCAGACGGAGACCTGGCTGGCCTTGACCTTCCCTGGACTGAAACTAGCACTGGTTTCCTTATACGATGTTAATGATCTACAGCCTCACCCCAACATAAGTCTTGTTCTATGCCCCCCTCCCCACGGGGTCAAGTTCACACCAGGCAAGCGTGTTCTACACTGAGCCTCCCTCCCCACGGGGTCAAGTTCACACCAGGCAAGCGTGTTCTACACTGAG